ATCTTGCTCCTTTATCCGTCAGAGCGAGAAATTTAAAAGGCAGCGGGCGCGAAAAACGAATGCATTTTTCATGGCCCGTGGGAATATCGGCGAGCTTGCACCGCTCCCACTCAGCTGCCTGTGGGGGATTATTTTAATAATAGACGAGTCTGCTGAGTAGGTGAAGCGTGGATTTCAGCAGCGAAATATCATTTGTTCCTCTTTTCTCCTCCCTTTTATTATTGCTAAGTGGTTCGGTCATGCTCTAATATTTGCCGACAAGTTTCCTACGCTGCTCGATTCCTTTTCTCATACAAGTTAATAACTGGAAAATTTCACCATGACTGTTATTTGTTGAAAAAACAAAAACAGATTCACTGCGCCAAGACTAATAAAAGAAAGCAATAATGTGCTCGACGAAGAGAGCAAAAAGCGAGTTGCAGCGTGCACGAGGAAAAGGAAAAGCAATGAAAGTTTAATAAATCGTACATCGTGCAGGCGACAGATCTGGCTGGCGGAAAAGAGTAGAAAAAATATGAGAAAACGATTAAAATAATGGCTGGGAGCTTTCGAAATTGAAAACGTTTTGACGGGCAGCCTCGCGTGAAGAGGCCTCGCATCTGGCGTTTGCAGCGTAAACGCGCTCACGGTCCGTTGCGTCGGTGGTTTTCCTCGTACAGCCCAATTATACAACGTTTGCGGCGCGCGTCCCTCCGTGCTCTGTGTGCGTGTGTGTGTGTATCTGGGCGTTTTATTTGGCAGCGCGAGGGGAGAGATGGCGCGAAAGTAGCCGGCAATTAATTAATTTAATGAGAAACATTCTCGTACTCTGGTTTTCGCTCGTTCGCGCGCGCGCCTGGTCAATATAGATGCAGATGACTCGTTAGGTTGTCTCGGGCAAACGCTTTTATTATTCATACCACGGGCCAATTGCCGCGTGCTCGCTCTCTCGCTCTCTCGCTCTCTCGCTCCCGATTTACATGATGAATTTTCATTCGCGCCTCGCGGCGCTTATAAGCTCTCGTAAATTGAAAGCCCATCGCAGCTGGCTGTGTGTACAATGAGACGATGCGCGTCAAGTGTCTTTATTTCCGAATGCTCGCAGCCAAAAGCGCGCCTCTCCCGGATTAACATAGTCGCCGCGCTATCCGCAACTTTTCTCCCTCGGTCTCTCGCTACTTTGGCTGGCGCGGCACATCTCCGCCTAAACAAAGCTCTCATTAAACTTCTAATGAGTGAAACGATATTATCATTCAAAGTGGCAGGAGAGCTTGCAGCTCCACAGCCAGATTTCCTCACTAGGCTAAGTAACTTCTCTTCTCTTCTCTACTCTTACTTTGCGTGCATAAACACACGGCATTACTCGCCGAACAACAGCTACCTTGCCTTTCCCTCATAATTGCAGCAGCTACTTATTTCAAGTATTCCAGCAGTTTGCGCTATTCGTTGTTGTTCCTTGCCGACTGCTTCTTTCGAGTACGCCTCTAATTTTCGCTTAACTCTCGTCGATTGGCTCTGTTTTGCCGGCTCACCCCAATGCTCGGTTTGTTTGACATTCTGCAAGTGCAATTTTATATTCATCAACAATATTCCTTCGCTGTTTCTTCAAGACAGTAACGCTTACATGCAATTCCATTTAAAAATTAATTAAAGCATCAAAGGGCTCTTCCGATGGCTATTACAATTATGGGCGCGGAAAATTTTCAATCATGAAATAATAAACGGGTTGCCGAGACAATAAGACGCGGCGTGATACTCGAAAAAAGAAGGCAAAATAGTTGGCGTGAGATAAAGACAGAAGGTGGGAGGGCAGAGCGGGATAAAGAAACTGTGCAGATATTAATTAAATACCGACCGATAACCGACGGCTTCCTCTAGGCGAGGAATTTTCCTCCTCGATGAATGAAAGCTCCCGCTGTATATACCGTGGTGCCGAGGCTGGCTTTCGCGCGAAAGATTAATTAATATCAGGCCTTATCCTCTGCCGTGCCACCGCGGACAATACCGTGGCGTAACATTGATTTGGCCTCTCTTTGCGATGCTCCCAACTCTTTCAACTCTCTTCTTTTGGCTTAATGATTCGTGCCATTTATTTTTATATAATAATGAATAAAGTTATCGCAGCTCATTTAACATATTTCTTCATTCGAATAATTTAAAGCGGAATATCACTGCGATACTTTTGGATAACTGTTGGGAAATTTGCCTTAAACATTTTTACCAACGGAAAACAGTTTGAAAAGAAACCCATTGCGCATTGCAACTCGAGTACTCAACAATAAAAAGCAAGTACTTATGGGGAAAAGTTGCCTGCGAGTCAAAGCTCGCCTCCAGCCGGAACAAGTTACGCTACAAGCCGTGAATCGCTATCGGAAATTTACCTTACAAATTAGAGTAAATGAAATTTAAAAAAGTTTGTGCCGCTCCTAGAAAGAGAGAAAGGAAGGGGGCAATCGCGTCGCCGGAATTCTCGCGGAAAGTTCGCGAGCTTTTGTGTCAGACGCTCGTTTCGAGTATAATGGGAGTCCAGATCTCGTGCTCCGAAACTTGACGACGCGCGAGTTGCCTTGGCAATAGAAAAGTCAGTAGCACGAATAAAAAAAAAGAAATGAAAATCAGACGACTCGTTTTCACAAATTTAACTCTTTCCCCTTGCCATTCGCCTCGGGTGAATCATAGGAGTTTTGTATTTTAACTTGACAAATGATTTATTTAGCCAACAGCTCTATGTAGTGCTTATGTGTCGCCGCAACGCACGAGAATCAAGTTTGAAAAACCACTCGACTTGTCGATATTTATCAGCTTTCACGCTAGAAATACGTAGTATAACCGGTATGCACTTCATCGTCGAAGCTTCCGATTATATATATATAAGGGGTAGAGGCCAGTGGGGTTGAGACGGTAGATAAATACAACATGTGGAGGCGATCGATCAAAGCAGCGGCCATCCAGAAAATAGAGTATCGCCGAACGGGCCGAGCGTGTCGACCAATTTATGACACGTAATTAAAAAGTCAAGCAAGCCGGCTCGTGCGAGGGGTTAGTCTCAGCGTTAGGTCGGCCGGAAAACCCGATAACCCGCTTGGTTGGCTCAAAACTCAGGCTTTATTTAGTCTTTATATCTTTTTAATACAAAGTTCAACATATTTAATACGTATTTTAACTTACTTCGGGATGTACTTCGCGTTTTTTAAAAATCTCAAGTGAGAAGAGGAAAAAGTCCTTGTCTCGAAATTTCCACAGTGGATTCGATTCGACAATTTATCGTTTCGTTCCTCCCGCCTTCTCTCTCGCTTTCTCTCCTACGCTCTTTCTCTCTCAAATGTTGCCACGAAGGAAATTCTCGATTGACAAATCCGGGGAACTCATATGCAATAAATCGTTGGTGTGGCCGGTCACCGGTGCTTCTTTCTATCCTCCTTTATATTTTTTGAAATTTTTTTCATCTTTCAGGTAGTATTTATGACCGTGCTTGCTATGTGCCAGACATATACAAAAGCAAATAATCATAAAAATGAAAAGACTTTAATATATATATATCTATTTTTCTTTCTATTTTCTAACGAATAAAATGGAATAAAATGTTATCAACTCTCAAATTCCACAATAATAAATTTTTCACTGAAAAAAATGTATGCATTTTAAAATTTGCGTACTGAAAGAATATAACGTTTTACAATTCATACTGCAACGATATCAGGCATTTTATTCACTCATATTTTCTAGACATATGATCTACAAAGTAGTTTTGGGTCAGCCGTAAACTAAAGAAGTTTATTGTGATAAGAAAGAAAAGCGAAAGTTTGACGAAACACACGTAGCCCTAAAAAAGAAGTAGAAAGAGAGGGTTCTAGCGAAAAGAATAATAGACCGAGATGGAGGGTCAGGATATACGAAATAAGCAGTGAAAGAGGCAAGAAATCTTGCCAACTTTCCCCATGCATCGATATGAATATAAATAACTCACGGCGTTGGGTAGCCAGTCGCGTGGGAAAACTCACGCCTCGCCTGCTTTCGCACTCCATAACTCTCCTCTGTTTAATAAATGTTTTTTTTTCCTTCCTTCTCAATCTCTCTCGCATACCCTTGAATTGTATCGAACGCCCGAAGTAAAAAATTTTCTACCGTATGCATCGAATGCTCTGAACTGATGTTTTATGTTGTTAGGTAGACAAATATTATCATACATGCTGTTATTTTTATATTAAAACGTATTTTTATATGTAAAACTAATATTTAAAATGATTATAGAAACTGATTGAAAATATTTATTTGCAATTTGCATCTTTTACCAATTCGCAAAAAGTTTCATACGTGCTGACTTCAGAAGCGCTTTAAAATGGACTGGCAAGTTTGAATAGATACACGTAAACTGCACAGGCCAATTTCGATTGAACATTCAACGATTGATGATACGCCTTCAATAAGTTGCAATCCTCTGAAATATACGCGCACGTAGAAAACATATTTACAAGTTATTTATGAAGCTTTTGGTTATATTTGAAGGCAATACACGAAATTAGAACTGAAATAACTTTATTAATAAACTAACTCAGTTTAGGAAAATCACTAGAAAAACTTTTAAATACAATATCTATTTTATTGTAGTATTTTTAGTAGAATTTTTAGTAATTCAATCGAATAATTGAAATTTTACCAGTCTATATAGATAATAACGAGTTAAATTTAGAGAAAGCTAGTCTTTTTTTGGTCAGTAAATGTACATCAACTGTTAATGTTTTCTTATTAATTTTTCATATACATCTTTAAAATCTATTCAAAATATATGTAGTACGCGGATAAGATTAGGTATATGATTATGTGGAGAAAGAATATTACAAAAGAAATGTATGGTAAAGTACATTTATTTACCATCTTTTAATACAAGTCGATAAATATAATAAGCGTAGCAATCTACATTCAGACACCGACACGAATTAAAAATAAAATTAATTAAATCTTCTCTTCATGATTAAGTTAAATTAAGTGACATTGGCTGAAAGCTGAGCTACTTAATGTACTCAGTATTCGTAGAAGTATTCCTCGTCGTGGTAGATGACGACGTTCTTAACATAGATGTTCTTGGCGTAGAAGGCACTGTGGGCTAGTTGCCTATCGAGTGGGTATCCAAAGGGTCTTCCATCTAGGGAGACAACACCACCGATCACGTCACTAATGTATTTCTCGCTGTAGTAATTGTGGACGTATTCTTCTTGTCCCTTATAGCTCTTGAAGCTGCCGGTTGGATAGCTGCTGTAGAGGCCCTTGGCACCTGGATAATGACCGCTTCCTGGGTATTCCACAGACTCGTAAGAGCCCTGTTTGTAGATGGTTTGGTAGGATTTACCGATCTCTGGGTGGTCAACGACCTTGTGGTAAGCATGTGGATATTTGAATTCTTCCTTTCCGTAATGATGGTAGCTTTCTGGGTATTTCTGGGCGTATTTTTCGCCATATGCAACACCATATCTAGCACCGTATTGAGAATTGGGGTAATGTTGTCCGTAACCACCAGATTTTACCTGATAGTGGGTTTGCTGCCAGTGTGGATAGTAGTAACTGCCTGGATATTTCTTGTACAGGTATCCCCAGTGCCAGTTTCCTTTAAGTAATAACCATAAAATTGAATATTTGACTCAATAAAGAATTAAACATAAAAAAAGAATTCAGTACCTTCAGTGATAATGTGTGCGTCATAGTCTGGAACAACCTCGATGGCTTGATACGCACCGTTGACTTTGTCAACTGGGTTCCTGGCATACTGTTCGTACTGTTCGTAATCGACAACGTGATAGTGTTGCGGCTGGTAAGTCTGGAAGTTCTCAGAAACAACTGAGCCATAGTATTCTGGCTGGTTGTAAGATCCAGAAATGATAACGAAGAATTGGAGTGGATATCCTTCTTTGGTTCCCTTAGGAAGGGATAACCTAGCTGGGAATCCATATAGTTGTTCAGGCTAAATAAAATAAGATATTTAATTATGTGAAGGACTATTAAATGTTATGCATTATAGAAACAAACGTCAACTTACTTCGCTGATGTAGTATGGGTGTTGAGAGAGAAAAGCATTACCAAGGCGATCTTTTAGTTCGTAGACTGACGGGTAATCGTAGCTCTGACCAGTAGCCTGGTGAGAGTTTCTGACAATTACATTCTTTCCTTCGGCAACTGAAATAATACGGAATCGTTAATCACTTTACAGATTTACCGCACGCAAGTCAAATTGTAGAGTGATAGTACTTACGGTCGTAGACGAATTGGTCGATTTCATAGAAGTAATGACGGTGAACATTAATATCGATGGGTTGGCCGTTATAATTGTATTTGGGTCCTACGTAGACGCGGACAACAGCATCACGAACTGGTTTCTCAGCGTGGGTGTATATGGTGTATTCGAATTGTTTGTGGTCGAGCCTTTTGAGATGAGCCCTGATATGAGGGAATGGCTGTTGTTCTTGTTTCTTGCCAACAGGTTGAGGTACAGCATTGTCAAGATAGACCTGGTAATCACCAAAGTAGGTGACGAGATCACTAACTTCGACTTTTTCGATGTTGACTCCTGGGAGAACTACATCGTTGTACTGATAGGCAGGCAGAGACTCTTGATAATAATGGAAGAATTCGAGAATCTTGCTGTAGAGCTGGTAGAACATAGGATCACGGACAGCAGTGTATCCAAGTTCAAGAGCAGATGGCTGATATTCCCAAATATTATTGAATTCAGGAGCATAGCCAAAGAATTGTCTGGCGACCTGAGCGTAAGCACCGTAATATCTAGGATTGATGCTATGACCAGTACCTTCAATCAATTCACCGAGGATACTAAGACCTTCAGGTTGGTAGAGTGACATGAAGGTGCCCTGGGGAGTGATGAAGTATCCTTGATCTATAGCATCAAGGATTCTGCGTTCCATTAGGCGAAGAACCTTGATGAGCTCATAGTTGTGATGGTGAGCAGTGACGTAGTGGTGCTCGTCACGTCCTGGCATGTTCACGCCGTTGAGATAGCGAAGATGAGGCTTATATGGTGTCTCAATATGTTCGTAGTAATAGTCAAGTTCCCTGATGGGTTCGAGTCCTTGACTGAGACGCTCCAGGTTGTAACGGGCAAGTAATTGCTCGTGGATGTAATAGTAGTGAGCACCGTGACCATTCTTGAAATATTTACTCTCTTCTCCTTTGCCGTATTTCTGTTCGTACTGACCCTATATACCAAAAAAAGTAAATAAATTATAATGTTAACCGCACGTTACCTACATATCACTAGAGATTTTAATGGCTATGGATTTACGTATGGAAGCATGTATCCAGCCAATTGAACATAGGAGTAGTAACAGGCAAGGCCGATATCTTCAGTAAAGTATGCAATCTGGTTCTCGCCGAACGGGTAGTAGGAAGTGTAGTTGACGTAGATGTCGTAGTAGTCTCGATGTTTCTCACCTTGGTAGTAATCATAGCCATACTTCATGACAAAGTCTTGGACCTTTTGGATTATTCTTGTGTCAAAAAAGTAGTTAGGAAAGATTTCGTAGACTGGTGGCAGAACAACACCCTGCATGTCGTGACGTCGAAGAACAGCGCTCGAATAAGCGGTAACGAATTGTTCTTGATTGATATAGATGCGGGCCCAGGCAGCAGTATTCAAGAAGGTTTCATAGTCCTTGGCACCCATAAAGATCTGGGTAAGAAGGCTAACTTCTTTGCGGAGCTGGCTAACGCTGTATGAGTATGGAATACCTTTAGGTTGTACATGGCCAGTCTTGACGAGACCAACATAATATTTGACTACGGTTGGGTTCTCGTAATTCTGAAGGTAAGGTTCAAATTCGTATTTGTATCCAAGATCACGGTAAGCTTCGTACGGCAGCTCGCCGGCGATGTTTTCGAGAAGATATATCACATCCTGTTGCTTTTTTAGGAGTTCTTGGTCGGCTATAAAATATTAATTACAAACTATTTTATTAACAATAGTTTATTAAAGTGTTTTTATACAATTTTAATCTACATATCGAATTTAATAAGGGTTACTTATTATTTACTTGATTTTCCAAAAACAAATATACATTTTTATTTTGCTTTATGTAAAATTATTGAAGCTCTATAGTAAAAGAAAGAAACTAGGTAAAGAAAAAGAAACTAATTAACTCTAACAATTGATGTCAAGTTGATTTACAGTTCAAACAACTACACTTACCAGCGCGAAGCTGTGGAGTTGTGGGGATAGCTGTCCCGAAGGCGAAGAGTGTAAGGAACACGATGCTGAACTGCATTGTGATGCTGAGCATACCGACTATCAATGGACCCGGATTTTATATATGAAAATCATATCATTTTTAGTCGCGGTGGCGGTGGAATATTGACCTTTTGACCTGATAAATTTGCATGCGAAAGATTACGCGTCGCCATCTCACCTATCATTGCCCGAATGACTTGATTTAGCAATATTGCAAGACTTAGAAATATTTCCACAATTCGTCAAGATGTGTTTCTAAATTATTATTTGATCAATGTAATACTTTATCGATGTAGTATTCTTTTTTAAACTAACTATTAAAACATAATAATCAATAATAGAGAATTCATTTATTAAATAAAATTTTCTCATATTCATGAATGCTTTTCGGTAATATATTTTATTGGATCAGAAAATTGATGTGAAATTATAACTGTAAAATCAAATATATAATTCATATTAACGCTAATGCGTTCAATAAGTTAGCTAGAAATAAGGTTTTCCTTACATTGTAATTAACTGCAATATATTCTATACATAATCAAAAGCGAAGATGAACTTATGATATCATTTGGTAAATAAATTTATAACTACGAATATTTTCGAAAGATTATAGATGGAATAAAATAATTTAAAATAAAATAAATAATCGAATAAGCAATCACTTTGATAATATACGGTCAATAATTCAAGATATTATCATAAAAGCAGTTACACAATAATTTATCATAATCGGTTGATTTAGTATTTACATATATGGAAAAGTACTTAATTACACAGGCTTGCATGATTTTGTTCTTAGCCAACTAAGGGTCACTCTCGAAGGAATTTTTTGCGTAAAATTCGAATCTGAAGTTAGAATTTGTCTATCACGTCAGGTTTTTTAGATATTCTAACCTAAAGAGGCGAAAAAGGCCGTTTTTTGCTATATTTAAGGTCCCATAACACGCGAAAACTTGTTTTTTTCCGAAATCGAGAAGAATTATTTTAAAAGTCTATTATTCCTATTCAAAATTCATTTTCAAAATTTGAGACATCTTTATTTTCATTAAGATATCGTTGATCAAAGTCAAGTATTTTAGAAATCTCAAAATAGTCGATTTTCTGGATACACTGTATAGCATCTGCGAAAATACTTAACTGCAATTAACGATATTTCGATAAAGATTTGAAATATTATCGAATATCTTATTCGATAATATTTCAAATCTTAAAAATGGATTTTGAAAAGTAAAAGTAGATCTTTTACGTGATTCTTTCCGTTTTTGGAAAAAAACAATTTTTTTCGCGATATTACGGGACCTCACATATAGCAAAAAACGGCCTTTTTTACTGCTATAGCTTAAGATATCTAAAAAACTTGATATGTTGGACAAACTCCGATTTCGGATTTGAACTTTACAAAAAAAAGTTACTTTCCTAGTGATCCTGAGTTGGCCAAGAGCAATCACAACTTCTTATTTTATAGATCTGTGTTACCTGTTCTCCAAAAATATACGAATTGTATGTATAGTGTTGATTTGATTTAGCACCATAAGTTATGAATGATATTTTAATAATGATTAAAAACTTTTTTAATTACATGGAAAAATGTTTTTAAAGGGAATAAATCTCTTAAAAATTTTATATTTTCTATATTTTACTTATTTTGTTATAAATAAACATATTTTATGCTGTAGATTGATAAATAGTTCATGGAACTATTATTAATCTCGCAAAGATAATTTTTTACGTTCTTAAAGCAAATGATAATTTCGTAAGAAAGTTATGATTCTCTCGTTTTGGTCACGTTTTCGAGATAATAACAACTTGGAATAACTATATTTCGCGTAATTATTTTCCATATGAGTAGTTTGCTAGTAGACTTTAATTACGTGATAAACTATTTTTGAAAAAATTGATAGGGAATTTGGATACATATTGTTTATACTTTCGATTGATGTCATACGTTCTTCATAAGAAACTTTCTAATTTGATATTTTTTGTCTCTAATAAATTTACGCAACGTAAGTATTTATTCTTTTTGTAACTAAGAAATTTCTAGACTAAAATTTGTATCAAAATTTCCAAATTTCATTAAACTATATAAAAAGTAAAATTGTAGTCAGATAAGCTACATTTTCATGATTAGAATAAAATAGCATTTGAAGAATATATTGACCGGATCATATTTGTAACGAAACTGATTTCAAATTTAACGACGTCTTTTTGAGAGCGGATAGATAAAAGCTCACGAAACTTGTAGAGATTACATTTATAAATGAGTCTTAGAGTTATAAAAGCAAATTTTTGGAAGTTCGACGTTAAACATCAGATTCGGCGATGGTAAGTTTTTGCTGCGTCATTCTGAGTACAGTAAAGTCTATATACTCATGTCATGAAAATTCGATTTCCGTTGAAGAAAAGTATCTAGGGCTTCTTGTTTTTCCCTCGACTACTGCATATTATTTCTTCAATCGATCGTGGCTACTACCAAGGCTCTTCTCGATAATTCTATTGCCATTTGCATTATATTCAAATGCTATTTAATTTTCCGCGGCGTTACCTTTATTTTCACCGATTTGCATTTCATTCGTTCGCAATTGTCTCTGACAGCAGATATCTCTTTTCCCCTTTCTGTCTCGCTCAGTCTCTCTCTTTCTCTCTTTCATTCATCGGTTTCTTTTTTTATCTTTATCTAGCGAGCGCGATTCATCCTAAAGCGTTGGCCATTCGTATCTGCATATCGTTAACCTCTCGCGGAATCGCAGTTACTGACTTTTTCCGCAAAAATAAGAGAATTAAGCGCCAAAGAGCAATCTTACGTCCGCCTATGGTCTCATGCATATTTAGAAATTAAGCTAACTTGGCGCGACGCCTAAAGTACTGTAGCGCTTGATGCAAAGAATAATTAACGTGTTCTTTTGCGAATCATTTGTAAGCTGCGCGACACAGCGTTGTTTGACTCCACTTTATATTATTGGAACATTATTGGAGTTACACAAACGAAGCTTTTGAACGAGAGTCCCTTATGAATTTCTACTCTGGGATATTACGTGTATCAATAATGCTCTCGGCAATTGTCGAAAAAATTCCGTTATGATTAAATACGATCGAGCGAGCCTCTATAAAGTTTAATTTCTTAAGAATTTTGTGGTGAGAGGGCGCGAACAAAGGGACATTCCGTCTACGTTGAAAACGTCGTAGGAGCACTAAAACTTCTCGGTTACACGACGCTCGAGATCCGAGTCGTCGTCTCACGACTTTTGTGCCAATAGTAGCGTGCAATTACGATATTGGTTTGATGTTTGTACAGCCGATGCGCCGCTGCGACGTCGTTCCTGGAAAATCTCGTCTTCTAGACTTTCCACTCCTTCTCCGCCTCCTCGTCTTCCTATCCTTGCGACATGTCCGACCACTTCCCTCTGTCTCTACTTACTTTGGGATTCCGATTTTTATTAGGCTGGAGTACTTATGCGGAAAGTTTCGAGTTTTGAATTGAGATTAAGTTCTACCGGGTGATTGAATTTCTAAGTTGCCTCAAGTAACCTAAGTTTTCTTAAATGTTCTCATAAAAGCCATCGCCCATTTTATGTCCTAAAATTTACAATAAATTTTCGACTTCAAAAATTAATAGAGTTTAACGTTGCTAGACGTAGTTTTTATTTCCTTTTTAATTATACTAATTGATACCAGCATCATTTTAATTAAGCGATGGATAATCGAGCTTTATAAATTAAGTGAAAACATTTAATTTATAATATTATTTTTGTTATCGAAACACATACGATTAATCTACATAAGCTGAAGTGAAGGGTACTTATACTTTCATGCAGAGAAAAATTAACATCCACACAGAAGTTTCCGAAGTAATCGTGCCTCAGGAAGCACGCCATCATGTTTTTTTTTGGTTCTGCTTACTTCACCGACGGCAAACAAGCTCGAGTTCTCGCATTGTACGAAACTTGAAGGCAATAACGGCGAATAATAATGACTATCAGGGTTGATTTTAAAACCCCGGAGCAAAAGGGGAACGAGACTAGAAGTCTTACCCCTCCTGATCAAATACTTGATTAAAGAAACTTTTGGACGGCCTATCGACAGATACGCGATGGACGCCTGATTGGATAAGGTGGACGCGCGAGATTTCCATTCTACTTGCGCCTTTTCCAAAAACGTTCGACCAAACTTTCTTGGCTATATCCCCCCTCTCCCTGTCCCTGATGGCGTATAAGACAAAGGGCTATGTCGGATTACTCGTCGAGTCGTTCCTTCTTCTTCCTCTCCTTCTTGTTTCTACAGCTGCAGCTTTGCTTCAATTTTCTCTTTTCCAAGACTAGCCGTTATTTTACAAAGAGGCATAGATTAATTGTTAATTCGATTGTTGGGTAGTGATTACAAAAAAAAAAGAAAATAGCCAGCGCCGAAAGTTTTTAGTTAATGGAGCGTGCAACATTTCAGTCATAATAAATATATCACCGTCTTATCTAATTCTGCTGTTTTTTGTGACAGTGAAACAAAAAGATTAACGTATGTTTTGACATGAGGTAATTCGCACATAATGTTAATGCTAACAGCCACTTTAATGATTTAGATAAGAATATATACGTATTTAATTAGTTTAATAAATAGCAATTAAGACGATGGCTACTTATGATAGGTTGTTCTGAATTTCTACACGTGTACCGTTTTTTTTAATTGACCAGTCTTATCGTACAGTCGTTCGATTGCCTCTTAAAGTAGCGTGTATTTCACATATCTCACATTCCTATATGTATCAATGTTATATCAAAGTTATTTATTTCGACTCTGTCGGTACTTAACAATAGAAATAGTTTTATTATAGCCAACATAGCGATAGTTGTTTTCTAAAGGGAGTATTTAAATTTAAAGATATTTCTGAATAAATGAACAAGACCTATGATAATTAACCACTGTGACCGGTCAAGTAAACAAAATTGAGCGGCAAGTTTGCCTAACTTGTTTTTATTTGGAGGACAATATTTAGTATTGTATCTCACGAGCCAGCATTATAGTAATCCTGCATTGAAACAAGGAATGGCGAACAAATAA